CAAATCTAGATCAAGACTCGCTTACTCGAAATCACCAATTTTAGGATGCACATTTCCCCTCTTTTACATGTTTTAACATCTCTGAAATGAATAGTGTGCAGTTACTGTCAGCTCGGGAGTGCTCACGATATTGTCATTGTCAGCTTTTGAAAAATCGCTCTTAGCTGTTCACACTTTCACTTCCATCAGGTACGATGTTATATGCATTTTGGTGCGCCACATGTTAAGTTTCACTGACATTTTGAATGCCTTATAAGAGATGACGCTACACTTTGGCATTGAAACAAAGAAGCAGAAGAGGTATGTGAAACTGGTAATAGTGAAGCAAATATTTGTCATTGGAGAAATAATCAAGATTTCATATTTTCTTATAAAACAACAACCAAGTACAAAAGTGCTTCTTTAGCTTCAGTATGCAAACAGATCACCTGAGAATCTTATTAAAATCATTTGGGAGGGCCTCCCCGGTGGCGCAGTGGTTGAGCGCTGGGTTGCGAAGCTGCCCGCGGCCTCCGCGGCGCCGGTTCAATCCCCGGCTGCTCCCCGGCCACCGGAGGAGGGTCCCACATGGCGCCCAGACCTCTCCTGCCGCCCGCTGCTCCCCTCAGCAGTGTACTTCGGTCCTTCTGCCTGCTCTGCTCCCCGCTCTGGCTCTGGTGAATTCTCTCACCCTCCCGTGCTTCTGACTGTACCCAGTGCATGTATAAACAAAACAAACAAACAAACAAACAAATAAATAAAACATGCCTCTATTAAAAAAAATTAAAAAAAAAAAATAAAATCATTTGGGAGGTGTGGATGGGGGTTTGTAACCAGCACCCCAGTTGGTGGTGTTGCCGCAGGGCCAAGATACACTGACTGAGGAGACTCTACCACACCTAGTAGAGTTAGACTGACTCAGTTGCAAGGAGGTGAAGCTGTGTTCATTTTGTTACTAAGTTGTATCCAACACTTTGTGTATCTCTTGCTAAATCATGCTACTAAGGTAGGATAAATACCAAATCCATAGGAATAGGATGAAAGAAATTTTAGAGGCATGATGGCGTGACCAATTTTGTATGCCTCATAATGCTAACATGATTAAGGTATCATGTTATAGCTTAATTGAGGTAACAAAAGTGATCTTTCAATAAAAACGATCTTTAATGAAATTCAGTAATGTGCATACATGATTATCCATATGTGAAAGTTTAAGTTATGGAGAGACCTAAGGGGGATTCCTTGGCTGTGGGCAGGAGCACTTGTGTCTATGGTATGACTCTACCAAACTCAGCAGAGAGCAGCTTTTGTAGATCTGGAAAGCAGAGGTATCAAGAGCTGAAGATGTCAAAGTTATGTTCAAGTCAGAACGAAGAGAATGAAAAGAACACAAATGTTTATTTAATATCCTGGAAAGATCATAATTTAGGAATAAGGACCATGCTCTAGAGGAAAGACCACACCCTGGGATTAAGTACAAACAATTAAAACCCAAACTAGACCAGACCTAACAAAGAATGAAGCCAAAGTCAAGAGGATTAAGATCAATGATTTAACTATCTTCTAGAACAAACAGCAATGCCCTTTAATGGAAGATGGCATTACTCGGATTCTTATAAGTTACCACTGACAGTGTCAGGAATGCAATAAAAAAATTGCTAGACATACTAAGAAGCAGTAAAACATGACTCCTAGGAGAGAGAGAGAGACTGTGACCGTAGGTGACCTAGATGTAATTAGAAGACAAGGATTTAAAAACTGCTACTGTAACTATGGCTAAGAACTTAAAGGAAAATATGGACAAGAGGAGGAAACAGAGGAAAACTGTAAAAACAAACCCAGTGGAAATTTTATTTTTTTTTCTTTTTAATTTATGTTCATTTATTGGGTGTCTTTTTTTTATAATAAATTTTATTTTTATATTCCCCATACAATTGCAACCCCCCATTCTGACCCCAATCCCTCCCTTCCTGCCCCCACCCCCCCAAAAGTGTCTCTGGTTCATAGTTTTTTGTTGATTTTGATTTTTCACTTTCTTATAGTTATTCATTTTCCTGGTCCCTTATTTAAGTTTTCTAGATTCCTGCTATGAGTGAGACCATCCAGTATTTTTCTTTTTCTTTTTGGCTTATTTCGCTGAGCATGATCCCTTCCAGCGCCATCCATGTTGCTGCAAATTGCATGTGTTTATCTTTTTTGAATGCTGAGTAATATTCCATGGTATATATGTACCACATCTTCTTGATCCAGTCATCTATTTTTGGGCATTTGGGCTGTTTCCAAAGCTTAGCTATTGTAAACAGTGCTGCTATAAACATAGGTGTGCAGGTGCTCTTTGGAATTGATGTTTCTGTGTCCTTTGGGTAAATACCTAGGAGTGGAATTGCTGGATCATATGGAAGCTCTATGTTTAGTAGGTCCAGAAATCTCCACACAGCTCTCCATAGTTTGCACTCCCACCAACAGTGCAGGAGAGTTCCTTTTTCTCCACACCCTCGCCAACATTTGTTGTTGCTAGTTTTTTTAATATGTGCCATTCTCACTGGTGTAAGATGGTATCTCATGGTAGTTTTGATTTGCATTTCCCTGATTACAAGTGATGTTGAACATTTTTTCATATGCCTGTTGGCCATTTGCATTTCCTCTTCAGAGAAGTTTCTTTTTAGCTCTTCTGCCCATTTTTTGACTGGGTTATTTCCCAGTGGAAATTTTAAACCAAAAAGTATAATTTATCATTTTAGAAAAATTTCCTGGGACTGGATTAATAGCGGATTCGAGACTTCAGAATGAGGGTCAACAGAAATGACTGTTTAAAAACAGAAATGATGTCTTATTTGGTTCCCCTATATTCCTCATGTAAGTGAAACCATCTGATATTTTTCTTTTTCCTTCTGACTTATGGGGAAAGAATAATAACAGTACAAAACACAACAAAACAAAAACAATTATAAGTCAGAGACATCCTGCAGGGGAGGAGGCAGGAGAGGAATCAGAGGGAGGGAGGGAGGAGCACAGGGGACTGTGGTGATGGTGCACAGGTGAATTGGTGGAGGAAATTCTGTGGGGGCTACACCTGAGGGGGAAAAAAAAGCAAACATTGTTTAAAAAGGAACAATGATGTAAAATACATATAAATAAATAAAATTTAAAAAGAGAAGAAAGTTTGTGAAAATTGAGCGGACTGATGGAATAATAGCAAGCAGTTTAACATCTGGGTAACTAGAGATCTAGAAGAAGAGAGAGAATTGGACGGGAAAATAATTTAGGAAATAATGGGCTGACGTTCCACAACTTGTTGGAAAAGATCAACTTCAAATCCAAGATGCTTAGCAAACCCCAGGTGGGTTTGCTAACTTACTTTTAAAATCCCATCACAAGGCACATTACAGTCAAGTTACTTAAAAAAAAATGAGAAAGAAAAAAAGTCTTCAGCCTAAGGGAAAAACTATAATACATACAAACAGTAATATAAGTAATAGCTGGCTTATTATCAGAAAGAAAAGAATTCAGAAGCCAATCAAACAATGCCAAGTAAGAAATCAGGATGCAGGCTCCAGCAAGGATAGCCTTAAAAACCGAGGGTGAAAAGACAATGTAGAAGAAAATAGCTAATATCTTTTTTTAATTTAAATATTTTATTTTATATAATTCTTACATCTTTTTTCATCTTTGCACAATGTATGCATTTTCATTTTGGTTATATTCCCCATACAATTGCACCCCCCCTTCTTTTGACCCTAGTCCTTCCTTCCCCTGCTCTTCCCTCCCCCTCCCCCTCCGTAGTGTGTCTCTGGTTTATAGTTGCTTGTTGATTTTGATTTTTACTTTGTATTAATTAGTCTTTTTCCTGGTCCCTTATTTAGGTTTTCTAAATTCCTGCTATGAGCAAGACCATCCAGTATTTTTCTTTTTCTTTCTGACTTGTTTCGCTGAGCATGATCCCTTCTAGCTCCATCCATGTTGCTGCAAACTGCATGTGTATATCTTTTTTGATTGCTGAGTAATATTCCATTGTGTATATGTACAACATCTTCTTGATCCAGTCATCTATTTTTGGGCATTTGGGTTGCTTCCATAGCTTAGCTATTGTAAACAGTGCTGCTGTAAACATAGGGGTGCAGGTGCCCTTTGGAATTACTGTTTCTGTGTCATTTGAGTAAATACCTAGGAGTGGAATTACTGGATCATATGGAAGCTCTATGTTTAATAGTTCAGGAAATCTCCACACAGCTCTCCATAGTGGTTAGACCAGTTTGCACTCCCACCAGCAGTGCAGGAGAGTTCCTTTTTCTCCACAACCTCGCCAACATTTGTTGTTGCTAGTTTTTTAATATGTGCCATTCTCACTGGTGTAAGATGGTATCTCATTGTAGTTTTGATTTGCATTTCCCTGATTACAAGTGAGTTGAACATTTTTTCATATGTCTGTTGGCCATTTGCATTTCCTCTTCAGAGAAGTTTCTTTTTAGCTCTTCTGCCCATTTTTTGACTGGGTTATTTTCTTTGTTTTTGTTGAGTCTCATCAGCTCTTTGTAGATTTTTGTGATCAGTCCTTTATCATTAGTGTTGTGTGCAAAAATGTTCTCCCAGTCGGTGGGTCTTTCTTTGTTTTGGTTACTGTCTCTTTTGCTGTGCAGAAGCTCTTTAATTTGATGTAGTCCCAGCTGTTGATCTTTGCCTTCACCATCACTGCTTTGGGTGATGTGTCTGTAAAGATGTCTTTGAGGTGCACGTCATGTAGTGTTTCGCCTATATAGAAAATAGCTAATATCTTAATATCCAGACGTCTGCCTGAGGCCAGATATATGACAGTAGGGTTCAGGGGAAAGTTCATTGAATAAATGAATTAATTTGTAAAAAAAAAAAACCACAAACCTCCCCCCCCCAAAAAAAAAAACCGAGGGTGAGCTGAAGGACCTGCAGTGGACTATGGTGGAGGGTTATTGGTGATTTGGTGGTGGGTGGGATGTGGTAACACGTTTGAAGGGGTGTGAACCTGTACTCCCAAAGTATCTAGTGCCAGCTTTGCGCAGTGGCAGTATGGTAGCCAATGAGGTTTATATGAGGAGCGATTATTGCTAATTGAAAACTTTTCCCAAAGCATCTAGTGCCATAAACCAACATTACCTCAATGAAATAAATATTTAGAAAGTCATATAAAGTGACTAATTAAAAAATGAAGATGAAATAAAGAACTTTCAATAAACAAAATCTGAGAGAATGTTGCCAAAAGCTCTGCCCTACAAGCATGCTAAGGGAATGTTCTTCAGGCTGAAAAACTTGTAGTCAGATTGAAAGTTGGATTTCATAGGAAGAAATTGAGAGCATTGGAAAGTTGATAGGTGGTAGGTATAAAAGACTTACTGTATTTTTCTTTGAAAATCTTTAAATGATAGTTGACTACTTAAAGGAATAGCAGTAACATTTATTGTAGTGTTTATAATGTATGTTGAAGTAAATTATATGTCAAAAGTAGTACAAAGACTGGGGAGAAAATGACATTATGTCTTTGTGGGGGACTTACACATCTTGCAGAGAGTGATAAAATATTCCTTCTATATAGACTGTGATGAGTAAAGGTGCATATTGTAATCTCTAGAGCAACCACTGAAGTATAAAACAAAGATATATGACTAAAAATCTAATAAAGGAAATAAAATTGAAAGATGAAAAATATTTGATAGCTGGAAAGAAGGCAGGAAAAGAGGAACAGAGGCACAACAAGACGATGACAAACAGATGGGGAAAAGGAAAACAAACAGCAAAAAAATTATGTGCTTAAACCCTAGCACGTAAATAATTGCATTAGGTGAAAGTGGACTGACAGGCAGAAATTATCAGATTGGCTATAAAAGTAAAACCAAACTATATGCTGTGTTGAAGAGATGTCTTTTATTTTTATTTTTTTATTATTAAACAATATTTGCTTCCCCGCACCCCCTCAGATTGAGTCCCCATAGAATTTCCTTCCCCAAGGCACCCATGCACCATCACCACAGTCCTCTGTGCTCCTCCCTCCCTCCCTCTGATCCCTCTCCCTCCTCCTCCCCTGCAGGATGTCTCTGATTTATAATTGTCTATTTTTGCTTTGTTGTGTTTTGTACTGTTATTGTTTTTTTTTATTTTATTTTATTTTTTTTTTTTAATAGAGGCATGTTCCATTTATTTATTTGTCTGCTTGTTTGTTTGTTTTTTGTTTATACATGCACTGTACAGTCAGAAGCGCGGGAGGGTGAGAGAATTCACCAGAGCCAGAGCGGGGAGCAGAGCAGGCAGAAGGACCGAAGTACACTGCTGAGGGGAGCAGCGGGCGGCAGGAGAGGTCTGCGCGCCATGTGGGACCTCCTCCGTGACGGGGAGCAGCCGGGGATCGAACCGGCGCCGCGGAGGCCGCGGGCATTCGCAACCCAGCGCTCAACCGCTGCGCCACTGGGGAGGCCCCTGTTATTGTTTTTTTTTACACTGATGTCTTATTTGGTTCTCCTATATTCCTTTTATAAGTGAAACCATCCAATATTTTTCTTTTTTCCTTCTGGCTTATTTCACTGAGTATAATTCCTTCTAGCTCCATCCACGTTGCTGTGAATGGCATGAGTTTATCTTTTTTGATTGCTGAATACTTGGGAATAAACCTAACAAAAGAGGTGAAAGACCTACACAAAGAAAATTATAAAACACTGTTAAAAGAAATTGAAGAAGACACAAAGAAATGGAAAGACATCCCCTGCTCATGGATAGGAAGAATTAACATTATTAAAATGGCCATCCTCCCAAAAGCAATATACAGATTCAATGCTATTCCAATAAAAATCTCAATGACATTCTTCAAAGAAATAGAACAAATACTGATGAAATTCACATGGAACCACAAAAAAACCACGAATAGCCAAAGCCCTGCTGATGAAAACAAAGGAGAAAGGAGGTATCACACTTCCAAACTTCAAGCTATACTACAAAGCCATAATAATCAAAACAGTTGGTATTGGAACAAAAACAGAGATGTCTTTTAAATATAAAAGCACAGACAACTTGAAAGTAAAAGGACAGAAAAAAGTACCATGCAAACCAGAAGCTGAAGAAATCTGTGTGCCTCTACCATTTCAGGCAAAAATGGACTTCTTAATAAGAAGTATGACCAGAGATGATAGGGACATTTTTAAACAGTGGAAATATGAAATCCAAAATGTATATGCTTCTCAAGTTTCAAATATTTGAGGCAAAACTGACAGAACTAAAAGGAGAAATAGATAAATCCCCAATCAGGAGGCATGTGGGAGACTTAAACAACTACTAATTAGTTTAATCTGACACTTAATACACTCAATAGTTGTAGGATATACGTGCTCATAAAAAAATGATCTACTAAGAAGCAGTAAAATGTGAGGTGAAGTATTTGTGTTGGGTTGGAGACGCAATTGCAAGCAATATTTCTTTCATTCAAACAATAGTGATAGGCTCCCCATGGGTGTTGAAACTCTGTTGCCTCCCTGGTAGGTTCTCATTAATCCTAACTCATGCCCCAGTGGGTTGTAGTAGTCACTCCTGGAGTAGTCCCAGGGCACTCAGAGCCTGGTGTCCAGACAGCTTTGGGCCTTTCTGACCTGGGGGAAAAGTCAGTGGAACCTTTAAGAGTATAAATCTCTTTTCCATTGATTGCCCCAGAGGTGGCATGTCTGTGATAAACCCCAGAGCTCTTTCTTCCTTTGACTCTTTGTGCGTTTGTGTGTCATCTCGTCCACATGCAGTATTCGTCTCTGAGGCTCTGTAGAGACAGGAATGCTCCAATACATCATCAACACCATGCTGCAAGCCTTACAGCTCTCGTATTGATGTCTCGCTCTGTTTCACCCCCAGATCTGGGAAGATGAGAACTTTGGGCATTTCACATGCCCTCAGGCTATTGATGACAATAAAATATGGAGCCAGATGGGTTTACATTTTTTCTGAAGACAGAACATAGCTTGTCTCTTCTAAGATCTTATCTATTTAATGAGCACAGGCCGTATAATTAAGGCCTTTCTTCTGTGCTGCGGACGTGCCAAACTTACTGGAAAGTCTGCTTAGTTTTCATAAATCACATTGGTTTGGACCTTTACACACTTGGGGCCAATTCTGACATCCGTTAATGGAAGCTGTCACTGTGGTGTTTGGTTTTTTCTTCTCATGGGGAAGTTGCCTTTGTTTACAGAGAAGGTTCTTTGGTGCTACTGCTGACTGTGGCCAGATGTTATTCCCAGGGCAACAGTGAGAGGTGAAGAAGGAGTATTGCTCTTAACTGGGGATGGCATGGAGCAAGTTCTCCTCATGTGGGAGAATCTAGGGGTGCCCAGTGTTAGGCATCCCCTGACCAGAGAGCAGGACCCAGACCAGTAGGGTAGCTTTCTGGGCTTCATTGGTGGTAAGAGGGCTTCAGCATGGTTCCCAGAGAGCCTAGTGGAATTAGATATATTTGCAATTTGCATTCTAAACAAGTCTGTTCGGAATAAATATTCTGGCTACATTGTTTTCTTGGCTCTTGTTCATTGGTTAATAATGTGTTGTTTTTTGGAAAATAGCTTTTTCTTTGTTGGCTTGGAAGAGGAGCCCATGGGAAATGTGTTGGACTCTGTGCTAATCTTTCAAAACAACATGTGTACAAGAGTGGTTGGGTCAAACCTGGCAATGATTGCATAGAAACCCACAGTGAGGGGCACTGAGGATGGGGTGAAAACAGCTGGCAGGTCCTAATGGTGCAAGTGCAGCACTTGCTCAAGAGCAGAGACAAAAGAGCAGGGCCCCCAGGCGGCGTTCATGGAACTGAGCCCCGCAGTTCTGACCTCTGCAATGGTGCTGCAGAGACTGTCCAACATATGGGCTCCAAGGGCGAGAACAGGCCTGTGAGTGCTGGAGGGTATGGCAGGGCAAGTCCCAAACCCACGACACACAGGCAGGGAAGCATTCAGAACTTCTGGGGTGCGCAGGGTAGACTCATCTCTCATCACGTGTGCTGGCTGTCCTGTCACCAGGGCTGCAGGACATACTTGCTGGACACGATGTATTGTTCTGAAACAGGTTCCTTTTACAGCAACAGCTGCTCAGTTATGTTTTTGAGTTGCTTCCCAATGGGCAGTGGGGAAAAGCCTGCAACAGCTGCAGTCTCGATGAGAGTGAAGCTCAGCTCCTTGTGCATTTGTGGCCCTGCTCAGTGTGGGGCTGCACATGGAGCCCCTGGAAAAGGTGACCAAGCTGGGTTTCTAGCCCCTCCTAGGGTGACTCCCTCGGAATATCACTCAGCTGCTCCTACATGAAGAATCTTCCGGCTGATTGTAGGTATAGGACAAAAAAAGGATTCTTTCTGACTTTGGAAGGTGGAAGGTGAGACTAGAGACATTGTTTAGGGCCATGGTGAGGCTGAGGTCGTGACTGGAGAGGACATGCCCCCCATTATAACCTGTCTGCTGAGGAAGGGCTGACTTGCTTCCTGCCCCCTCTCAGCATCTTTCAGAGGGTCAGGACAGATATTGACTCAACCTTCAAAGAGTTAACCCTCCCAAGAGAAAGTACAATTTTATTCAGCCATCTGCTCATGCCAGGAACCATGTTTTTTCTGTGGGGGCGATCTAGTTCTTAGTCTTGGGGAGCTTCCAGGCTGGTGAGCCAGCAACCCTGTTAACTCACATAAGCTCTCAGAGCAGCAAGCAACATTTCAACATTGACTTGACTAATATGTGCCAGGCACCTTTATCTACCTAGTTGGAGTTAGCGCTACAACAGTCTCTGTGCTTGGCACTGTGATTATCACCCCATTTTACAGATGAAGAGGCTGAGGCTGAGAGAGTAAGGTAACTTGATTAAGGCCACCCAATAGTAACAGGACCAGCCTACAGTCTTAACTAGAACCAGAGGACTGATGTAGAAAAAAGAGATATTCTGACCTAGCTCTGGTGATAACCCATTGATAGTACACATAAAACTGCAATGGAAGGTCAAGTGAGTTATTCTGATAAAAATATTGAGGAAGGCTCTGGAAGACAAATAGAGTAGTGCAGATGGGGGTGGTGAATCTCAGCTTTAGCACAGGTGTTGTAGTGCCAGCGCTGACCAGGGCATGTTCAGAGGAAGAAGTCTGATGTGGTGGGAACCTGGCATTTGTGAGAGAAGGTGGTGGAAGATGACTTGGACAGGTT